TTATTTTTCTTTCTTTTGAAAAAATCGGTTGTGGCAAGAACACTTAACATGAGATCTCAACTTCTAACAGATTTAAAAAAAAAATTTTTTTTTTGCTTTTTGGACAGAAATCAGCTTAAAAATTGTCTATTGCCTAGAAACTTCGAGATATTTTCTATTAACAATTAATTAAACCTCTCCCAGCAATCACAGAACATTATTTCATTTTTTTTTTACATTCAGAGTTCTTTTACTAGGTTGCCTAGCAACCTAGTAAAATTAAGCAGTAAGCTTTTGATTTAGTCAATGGGTTATCTTAAAATATTCATTTGCGCTGGTGACTTTTTTTGGCGGTTTTCTGGACTATCGCTAAATAGGCAAACCTTTATTGCTACCCAATTTACGACCCAATTTTTCAAAATTTTGCCTACCCCCCCCCCTAATTCAAGTGTCTATATTCCAAATATGTAAAAAAAAATATATGTTTTATCAGAGAAAGTAAGTTTTTGTGTCTGATTTCGTAACTTAATTAATAGTTAGCACTAATTAATTAGCATATTTGAGGTCACCCCCGGGAACCATTAAGATTGAGTTTTAGTTCGTGAAAATCCGATCATTAGAACGAAAGTTATTCAGGGTGATATCTTTTTTTTTTTGCGGACTGTACCTGACCTTTTGACTTCTGTATTTCCTACATCATTTTTATACTATTTCCTCCTTAGTTTCTTTTTGCTTTCTGATCTAGATTTACTTTTAGAAAGCGATGACTTATTCATTTTATTTAAAATTTGCGTTTCTTAAGTATTTGCTAATTTTTTTTCTTTTTATAGTTGCTATTTGAAAAGTTTTCTTATTTTGTCATTCTTTTTTTTCTCAATTTTTCATCTACTTTCTTTTTTGCATAATATCTATAAAAGGAAAAATAAAATATTGTAACATAAATTTACTAAATCTGTAAATTTTATTTCTCATTTATTACAGTAACACTAAAATAAATTAAAAGTAAGAAAGAGCAAAGCTAAGCAAAGAGTAGTGTATCCTTTGCTTAGAAATAGGTTAATTTAGTAATAAACTGAACAAAATGTCTTAATAAGATTTGCATTAAATATTATACTAGTTACTAGTAAGAAATAGATTAGAATTATGCATTTTTTTCAATTTTTTTTTTGTTGAATATGTGCTTGTAGAGAGCTTCCTTGTAAGGCACTTCCTTGTAAAGCACTTCTTGTAAAAGTTGTCAATTGTAATTGTTGAACAGTTTTATTTGCAAATTTTTGTGCAATACTTGCTCTGTTTTAAAGGTTCTGGTTCCAGTCATAATGCATAAATTTGGATGGAAATCTGTCTTTTATGTTTTTATGATAATGGTAAGTTATTTTCATCCTCTTTATTTCGCTTGTGAACATGTAAGCATGTTAGGGGACGAATATTTAACAACTTGTAACAAAAACAAGCCTATGTTGCAATTCATTGCAGTTTTGAGACAATGCTAATTGTTTTAAATCTAACTTGCATTTATTTGATTCTTGGAAATATAGCCCTTGATATTTAACTTAAGTAGCGACACACCCCCACTTTGAAGAAAATCGCAACTCTCTTCATTTGTTTGCATTGAAGAAATACAGAGTTTTTATTCTTAAATGCCACTTTTTAGTAGTTAATATTTTTAGTAATTAATATTTTTATATTCTTGAATGAAATTTATATTTACTACTTATTCTTTGAATTTTCTTTCACTGAACTTATTTAATTAATTTTTATTCTTATCAGTGAATACCTAATCTAAAAGTTAACGCTTTCTCATTTTGTCCTCTACAATCAGCTGCAACTTTTTTTTATATATATTTCAGCAAGCTCTTTGAATTTTTTAGCAGTCAGTGTTTTTTTATGAGGTTCAAAAAATGGTATGATGCTGGGATTTAAATCATTATTGGATAAAGTAAAACAAGCAGGGAAGCATATAAAAATAAAAATGAATATATATTTTACAGAATTATTACAAAAGTATTTAAATGGTATTCAGTTTGATTCTCTGATAATTTTAAATTCAAGTAAAACGAAGAAAAAAGCCAATAAAATAATATATTTAATTAATGAGTTATAATGTCTCTTTAAAGAAGGAAATACTTGCCATAATTGTTAGTTTTTTTTAAACAGACAAATTATTCTTTCATGAAATATGAAAAAGCAAATCAAATTAATTTTCAATATACTAATTGGGTTATTTCTTTAAAACTAAAAAGCAAAATCCCACAAAAGTGAACAAAATAATGAACAATTTAAAATATAAAGAGACAATTAATTTAGAAAAAACAAACAATATGCCATTAAAAATGGAACACATAGTATTATGCTTATGAAAGAAAAATTGTCAACTACATAAACCATATTTAAACAATATTAACTCCTTATAAATGAATTACAAAGGAGAATGAATAGGATATGATTTTCTTTAAGTGGAAATAAGAAAATAAGATTTTATTATTAGGAAATATATAGTAGTAAACATCATTGACAATGACGGTATTTAATGACAATGACTAATTTCATTGTGATCTCCATCAGGTAACAGATATAATTTAAAGCCATATTTTGAATTATTAGAACATCCAACTATGCAATAGCCTGGCATTATTACGTTAAAGGTTTGGAACAAATAAAAAAAAAAAAAAAAGCAAAGCTAGAAATAGCAGATCAAGCATGTTGTCACTTCACTATCCAAACTGTTACCCAAAACGACGACTGCTTATCCAAATGATCGATTGACAACCAATATAAATCAAAAGTGGCCCAGAGGTTGCGGTGAAAGTGTTGCTACTTGAGTTACGTATCCAGGGCTTTACTTTTACTCATACACAAAAAGGAAAAAATATATAGTAGACACATAGGAATAGAAAAACCACAACAAGTGTTCACTTGCATGCTAACTCAAATAAGTAATACTACTACTAAGTAATTAAAAGACCTTCATAAAAAAAGTCAATGTTTAAAAAATACTATTTCTTTTATAAAAATTAGTTTATAACTTTTATTTTTAATTTCTTTCAAAAATTTCAAAATTTCAATTTTTATTATGAGCTTTCTATCTTTAAATGAGTTTTAAAAAACATATTTTTGCTTTTATGAACATTTTTAACATTTAGTTAAGGCTATGTGACAACCGTTTAAAAGGAATTTAATATCTATTACAGTTTAAAATTATGATTTCAAATATAGAGTAATACATTTTAGTTTATCTTCAATTTGGTTCTATGATAAAATCTTGTATGCATGAAATTATATGATAAATAGTTGTGTTTTACTCATGGGAAATTCTTTCATACAATATATTAAAATGAGATAACATTCTGACCCACAATGTCATAACATTATAAAATTCTCTCCGTCAATGTGTCCAAGTGAGATTTTGTCACACAACTGCAGGGGTCTGTCCAGACATTTTGTGAAAGGTCCTGTTTTTTTAAAATTGTGAAAAAATTCCTCGTAATTTGTGAATATAAAATGTTAAGTCACATTCTTTCAACCAAGGTCCTGCTTTTGTGAATTTGTGCAAATAGGGTCCTGTTATAGCAAAAAACTTTTTCAAGGAGTTTTTAAATTGTAAATAGATACAAGATTATTCTCAACACTGTAAAATTCTAATAAAAAAATTAAATTTTCAAAAATAAACAGCAATTGCTGCTTCTAAATTAGAGATGAAGCATACAAATATTTGGTATTTAGCCTATACTGCTGAACGCAGAATATACATTTTGGACAAATATTGGAAGAAGCATCTGCCAAAGACAAAACTTAATTCGTTTACATCCGTCTTTTGTTTACCCCCCCCCCCTGAGAAGGGTTTATTCCATTAACAAAACAATAATGAAGATAAAAAATTTTGTGAAGGGTCGGTTTTTAACTTAAAACAATTTGTGAAGGGTACATTTCTATGAAAAGAAATTTTGTGAAGGGTTCGTTAACGGACCCAAATTTCTTCTAAACAGACCCCTGAACTGAGTGGCAGCCCCAATAAGTTTCCATTTTTCTCTTATTTTAGTATAAAAATTGACCACATGTGTGCCATAATTTTGAGCAATTTTTAAGTACCATTCTTGTATTTAACATCTCTTATTGTTTTAAGTATATTGTTGTCTATATATTTGAATAGTTTTATTTCTTAATCTTATTTATTGTATTGCAACCATCTTTAGAACTCAAATGAAAAATTGAGTTCTAAAAACTCAATTTTTCATTTTATTAAAAATATTTGAAATTTTTTCTGATTATACACAAATTTTAATTTAGTAATTGAAGCACATCAACATATTGCAAATTAAATTTAATTCGTATAAAATGTATAAAGGCATGTAACAGAATATTTCTAAATTCTGTTTGTTAATATAAAAATATTTTATCTTCTCAAGTACAAATTTCGACAACAGTATTATAGTAAACAAAACAAACATATTGTGCATTATGGTAAATATTATTGTTTTTCTTTTTTTACAGACTATTTTAACCCTTGTATGTATAATAAAAATTGTATATCGTGATACTGTGGATCTAATTAAAAGGATGCTTAGCAGGCGAAGATATACACCTTTACACGTTAATCAAAGTCCTATTAATGTTGAAACAGAAATTGCATCAGACAATTATGAAAATTGAACAAGGCATTGTTATTACTTCAATTAAGAATTTCTCTTTATATGTTTCTATTTTATGTTTATTTAAATTTGTACCAAAATATTGTTTTTTGTCTCGTCTAATAAGTATTTTTTTAATGAACTGTTTTATATGTAAGTGCATGGTAAAAGTCATGTTACATACTTTTAAAAAGATGATTGACAAATAAAAAAATGCATTATTACTAGTTAATTAAAGTCATCTAAATACTTAGCTGGAAAATTAATTAAAAGAAACAAAGAGTTTAATATTTCTACCATAATAAAGGCTTATACTTCTCAAAATTATGTATGTTGCTTTATTTGGTTATTTAAATTATTTTAATTTTATAATTTTTTTAATACTAAACCAAGTTTTCTTTGTTTTTTTAATGTTGTTCTCTTATTTTATTCATTATTTTTTATGAAATAAGCTTTAATTACTATATGTGTAATAATTTAGTTTACTATTATTGATATATATATCTAGCTTAGATAATTTGTTGTGCTTCTACTCATTTTGTTCATTTCATTAGAATACAAATCATTTATTTCGTTGGAATAAAAATGTATTATTTTTGCTAGTCAATGATGTCTCGGTGATTTGATTATTTTAATGTTTTGATAAAATGAACTATTTTTATAGAAATTTTATATTAAATGACTGGTGAATGTTGAAATGTCAACTATTTTTATATCTCTTATCTGTTTTACTTCTTACACATTGTAGCTAAATATTAACTCCTTATTAAATGTGTTTCAATTTTTAGATTAGCTTTAGCTATTTATTTAACTTAAACAACTAACAGACAAATTTTAATTTTTTTGCAAAGTATTTTTGAATCACCTCTCTTTCTCAGTTCATGGACTTTTCCATACGTATTTTTTCTTTTAGCTTTTCTTAGCAGTAAATTTATATTCCTAATATTGCTATTTGTTATTTATTATTTTATATGTGAGCATTTTTAGTCTGATTTTTTTTATTGGGCTAAAAAATGTTATTCTGTTTGATAAAAGTTGAGTTTTATTTTAAAATTTTGTCCCTATGTAAACAAGAATATATTTTATTGGAATTAATTGTTGTTGTTCGAATAACTTATAGTGTATTGTAATTACTTCATTATATCATTATTTATGATAAAATAAAACATTTTCATATTTTTAATGTTGAATTATTTTCAACAAATTAATATATTTTTAATTACTTTATAGAGACATTCTGAGGTTTTAAAGAAATGAATTACACTTTTTAAAACTGAGCGATAGTCAAATTTTATTCTTTGTATATAAATCAATAAACTTGTGTATAAATTAATTCAAAAGCTGTGATCTACTAGAATAATTGCTATACACACAAAAGGATATGACTACTAACTTCAAAACTTTTTTCCAGAAATTGAAAAATTCATTTAATTTTTTTGTAAGATACAGAATTAGTTGATGCAAAGAGTCTTTAAATAACCTTTATTTATACTACAATTTTATATAGAGGGAGTATTTTAAACATTCAATTAATAAAACTACAGATCTAGCTATCTTTGTTTATTAATAACTTCCAACTATTCTGTGTTTCCAAAAGAGACTGATATATGGATATTGCCAGTTATTCCTGATTTGATTAAAAAGTCTAATTTGTGTATAACAATTTGAAAATTATGAAAGCTTCAAAAATTTCTGAAAAATGTTCTTACCAAAATATATATTTTACCTTCTTTATTACTTCATTGGAAATTAAATAAGTAATGTTAGTAATAAATGAGAAACTTATTTAGAAAGTATACGTAGGGGTTTATTTTCTTGTGATAATTTTTGTTATATAACCTTTTGTCAGGGTTTGCCAAAGTCGGCCCAGTCTGAAAAAACCCTGATTGTTTTTTTAAACTTGTTTTAAGAACATACTAATCTTCCTTTAATTAGAGTGGAAAAGTAAAGCATGTGTTTTTATAAAGAATACATTGGAAATTGGGACTCTGAAAACCTTACAAATATTTTTTAATTTACATAAGTTTTATATTATGTTTCTATTGATCAATTTTTCATTACAAGGGCTTGACTTTTGATATATTAATTTTGCATTTTTTAAATGAATAGGCAGACTGCAGTTGTTTAAATAATAATTAAAGCAATATATGTCATTCATTAAAAATTATCAGGTTTATGGAGTAAAATTATTTATGTAACTTGAAACAGTTAGTAATTTTTTTTTTGAAGCAAACTCTAAGATATAATGTATAAAATAAGTTTATAACTGAACATAAAAACTGCTATTATATAATTTAATAATGTCTGTCAAACTAATTAGTATTCTATTTTTTATGATTGCTTTAAAACTTAATTGGATTTTAGAATTTTTTTCGCAGTTGATAAAGTTAAATGCAGAAACCGAGGTCTAAAAAATTTTTTCATTTTAAAAAAATGGAAAACGAGTGGAGAAAAACCATTCGAAAATTTATCAGAAGTATAATCTTTTATATTTTAATGCTTCTGAGGCACCAATCATTCAATAGTGGGCCAATCTTTTCAAATATTCAATAAGGACAACTAATTTTCCTTTTTACTATTAATAAAATGATGCTAAAAAGTTGAGTTAGAATTATGTATAAGATTTTGCTTAACTATCATATATTTATTATATGTCCTAAGTATCATGTTAAATTAAGTCGTATTCCTAGTAAATACAGGCCTTACTAACTATCCAAGCACCATAAATCATTTTTCTTGTTTTTGGTAAGATTAGTTTTATAGTTTTTAAATTTGTTGCAGTGAATATTTTTATAAATTTCTTTCATAGAATTAAAAATTTAATTATGCTTAAAAAATGTTTTATTTTTGAATTAAAAGTGAAATGTGCTAGAATGACTTTTCGATGTTGTCATCCCATTTTTACTGGCCAGGAAATCAGTATAGTTCTTTACTTTACAAATGCCTATAAATTATTTGTTTATTCAAGGGTATTAATATATTTAAATAATATTTATCATCCCTTCTTAATATTATTCTCTACTGTTGTTGATTTGATTTTCATTCCAGATTAATGGCTTAAAATCAAAATTATTATTTTATTATAAAGTAGTCTTGTAATATTGCCTTATTATGTAACATTTTATGAAAAATATTTTAACTTAACCGTTTTATAATTAAAGAACAAATAAGTTGTATTTACTTTCATAATAAGCTTCATATAAAACTGTTTCCAGTCAAAATATGCAATTAAAGTAATGAGTACAAAACTGCAATAATTAACATTACTCAATATTGCTAAACAATGTGTCAAAATAAATTAAATTATATATTAAGTTGCAATGGTGACAGAACAAAATTATTAAGTTATGATTTTATTCTTGTGAACTCTGAAACTAAACCTGTGTTAATGCAAATAAAGTTTAAAGATAAATTTAATTTATTTTAACGTTAATCTGTTTGGCGTTAAGTAATAAAAATAGCATAGCACTCTAAAACCTCCTAAAAAGGGTTACATTACAGCAAAATAAGTTATAAATAGTTACTTAATATTCAACTTCAAAAAATTTAAATGCAAATCCTGCAATCTCGTTAAGGACTCGAGAGTTTTGAAAAATCGAAAAAATCGATAGATTGAGCTTTTTCCAAAAACCTGGGTTTCTTTAAACTCTGCCCTGAGTTGACCTGCTCTTTTTTCTCTTTTGTGTTGGACATAGTTTCAGGCATTTTAGTTTCAGTATTAAGTGTCTATCTTGACTTTTATAGAATTAATTGCCACTTGCAGCTTTTGTACCATTACACTGTACATTTGAATCAAATAAATAAAACGTAAAAATTTTCTAAAAATGCTGTCTTATGCATAGAAATCAATGAAACTTTTTTTTTTACCATAGTTTTTGGAGAGCTATAAAAGTTATTTAAAATTATTTATATTTTTCTATAATCCTTATTAGTCCTTGTTAAACTGTTCTACTGTTAAGTGCTCAACATCGTGCACAGGTTATGGGTTACCAAAGAGTTGGAGCCATCCCCTCTGCAGAGGATCAAAATTGTAATGGCACTTTTTTGGATCATCTCCAGTGATGTTTCCCAGACCATCCCCAATTACCCTGTAAATTAAAAAATCAATAATTTACTATACTTCTTTCACTTCTTAATTATAGGCAAAGGTAAAATTACTTTACCTGTATTTTATGTGTTGATTCCTCAAGATACTATTTATCCGAGGGAAGACAGGATGCTTTTCTTTCGCTTCAAAAGGTCACTACTCTTCGAAAAAAAAATGTCATTAGCAAAAAGAAACAAGGTCTGTCATTGAAAAAATTAACTCCCGTTCAATTTTTGAATACATTTAATCTTCAAATAAAAAACGTAACAAACAAGATTAGACGACACATCAATATTTTAAAGAGGAACAGCACATTTCAACCTTTTAACTCGGAGGCGATGATTTAACTTATGCTTTTCTTATAAAACTGCTGTTACGCCGCAGTTACAGTTAAATTTTAAAGTCAAATAGTTCCTCTGAGGTTATCGACACTCCCCTCTTGTGTTTTGGAGATATCGATCACTGAAATTTAACATAAATTTCTGTCCAAAGCTTTGAGGCACTTGCACAACCCTACCAGCTCGAGTGGTCACAGAATCGGTTTTTCTGTAGTTATCATCAGTCACTAAAGAAACAGTTAAGTTTTTTCCTGCAGGGTTGGAGTTGACACAATCATTATGAGCAGTATTATTGGCGATAATATCACTGCCATTCAGTTCCATGGGGCACAGTTTCTGGACAGGGTGAATAAAGACACCAAATTTTGTTTTAATTTTGCTAAACGAACGAGTCAATCTTGACTGGGATAAGTTTCTAAATTTCTGGCCATTGGCCTGTTGATTCTCTTGACGTTGTCACTCCATACTAGTACTATATCACCTACTTAAGGAACATGAACGTTATCTTTTTGTAATTTTTATGTAATTGTCCTAAGTATTCAACTCGAAATCTTCAGCATTATTTTTTAAATATTATTGCTAAGCTATTTTTCCCCTGTAATTTCTGCCACCATCTTCTAATAATTTCAGAAAATAAAAAAATGCCAATGAAAAGATTTATTTACCTGCTGAATTTGTTGACATGATTGTTGGAAAAAAGGTAGTAGAGGGTCAAGAAGGGAGGCCAAAACTGGAGAAAAAAAATTTGTTTTATGCATAAAGTGCTCCTTCACTTCATCACTTTTCATTGAGTTTATTTCTAGTTAGAATCAGAATTTATAAGTTCGCTTAGTTATAAGCACAGTATAATCAATTCTTTATTATAGGTAAAATTGTACAACCCATCGAATGTTTCAAAAATCAAATTAGTTTTAGGAAAACTATAAAAAATAATAGCCTCCATGAGCTTTTTTTTACAAATGAATCTCAGTCTCAAGTATAGTTTAACATAAAATTACTAACAAAAATGGTCCTTTATAGATTTAATAATGCAAATAGTTTTAAGAAACTAATTTCTTTTTACAACAATACATAAAAAATTCGGTTTTAAAAATAAAATTAGATGCTGATTACAACTTTATACTCTTAAGTACACTCATGTCCATAAATTAAGGATAATTCAGAATCACACGGAAATCAAACTCTAAAATTAAGATTTCCCCTGTAGAATTATCACACATCCTGAAGAAGAATATGCAAATTACAGGAAGCCACTAGATGACGCTGGTAGTACGTCACAATGACGAGATGTAAGAGAGGGGTACATAAGGAATGGTGGCAAAGAAGTAAAATTGTTCACAAGTGCTTTAAAAGCCTTTCAGTCCAATAACCGCATAGTTATGGCACAAAGTAAGCATTTGGATGATTTTTTACGTGGCAGAATCATCGGACGACTGGAATGTGGACGTACCCAGCTGGAAGTATCCGAGGAACTTGGAATCACCCAGAGTGTCATCTCCAGGTTTTGGCAACGATTCCAAGATGATGGTAATGTGAGTAGACGTTACAGCACAGGTCGCTCCCGAGTTACAACGCCGAATGAAGACCGGTATTTGGTTGAGAGTGTAACGATGACCGACCACATCTATAGGGATGTCATTCTGGAACAACATGTACGTTTGTTTCGGGGCGCCATGGGTGCTGAATTTCTGTTTATGGACGACAACGCCCGTCCTCACCGAGCAAACATTGTAGACGAATGCCTTCAATCGGAGGATA